CAAATAGTTTCTCATGAAACAGTAGTACACATATTGTTTTATGACATTGGTTAACAACCCCACAACATGTCAACCCTCTCCCGTCTCGGCCATTTTTTTTTTTTTTTTGGTGAAAATACACACAGCCAAAGATACACCATTTCAAAAATTTCTACATGCACAGTTCAGTGAAATCGACTGTGCTCTTCCAATTGTGCTGCTATTCTCAATTTAGATGAAGGTTTACAGAAAAAAATGTTTTCTCATTAAACAGTACACACATTGGTAATTTTGTAGTTACTTCATTTTAAGTTAAACAATATCTGGTTATCAACCAACTGAGATTTCAGAACATCTGTCTTAGTTATCTAGTGCTGCCATAACAGAAATACCACAAGTGGATGGGTTTAATGAAGAGAAGTTTATTTCCTCATAGTCAAAGTAGGCTAAAAGTCCAAATTCAGGGCATCAGCTCCAGGGGAAGGCTTTCTCTCTCTGTCAGCCTTCTCATCAGTGTTCCCCCGGACTAGGAGCTTCTCTGCCCAGGGACCCCGGTCCAAAGGACGCGCTCTGCTCTCGGCACTGCTTTCTTGATGGTATGAGGTCCCCTTGGTTGTAGTTTTTGTTTGTTTTATATCTTTACCTCATTAGCACATCTCAGAATTTTCTAAAATGTCATCCTTTTTATTTTCAAACTTAAGATCTGTGTATCTGTGGATAGGGGAGGGTATCTCTTGTGCCTTCTGTTAGTCATTCTGTCTGCACATATGCACCATAGTGTCAGTTACATTGTTTCCAAACAATATATCAGGGCATATTTTCAGATACATGGTTTGACAAAGAGATAGAACATTAGAAATCTACCGCCCACCGTCGTCCAGTGATTCAGACTCATAGCAACCCTATAGGACAGAGTAGAACTGCCCCATAGGGTTTCCAAAGCTGTAAGCTTTACGGAAGTCGACTGCTACATCTTTCTCCCGTGGAGCAGCTGGTGGGTTTAAACAACACTGACCTTTTTTGGTTAGCAGCTGAGTGCTTTACTACTGTGCCACTGTTGTCGCTAGGTGTGGTTGAGTTGGTTCCAACTCATAGCGACCCTATAGGACAGAGTAGAACTGCCCATAGGGTTTCCAAGGAGCAGCCGATGTATTTTTTTAATTGTTTTAGATTAAGGTTTACAGCTCAAGTTAATTTCTCATATAAAAATTTATACACATATTCTTATGTGACACTAGTTGCAATCCCTGTAATGTGACAGCACACTCCCCCTTTCCACCACGGGGTTCCCGTGTCCATCCAGCCAGCTCCTGTCCCTTTCTGCCTTCTCATCCTGCCTCCAGACGGGGTGGCTGATGGATTTGAACTGCCGACCTTTTGGTTAACAGTCAAGCTCTTAACCACTATGCCACCAGGGCTCCACTGTGTCACTAGGGCCCCAGTATTTGTGTATATGTATGATTTATTCACATTCATATTATCTCTATGCAGAATATATACATATTGCAAATTATTAAGTTTTTTTAACCACAATTAGAGACTGTCATTTTCTGATTAACTAGTTTTCTATTTAAAATAGGGCAAAGAAGTCCCATTTACACTAATGTTTAGAAAACTCAACACATTGAATATTTTCAGAAACAATCTCCCAAAAGGCCAAATTAAAAAACTGAAATAAGGCACAATCATTCTAAAATGGGGCCCTGACTTGGTAACTGCTTCTCCTCAATCTTTTAAGCTATTTAAATAATTGTATTCTGCTATTAGATAATTGAATGGTTGTTATCAATTCCATATTTATCTTAATATTTATGGAATGCTTACTATGTGCCAGAGATTGTGCTAGATACTTTTCATGTATCATTCCACTTGATCATCATGGAAAATATGAATGAAGGTAGTGAAGCCATATTAAAGAAACTGAAGTTTGGGGAGGAAGAAAGAAATGATCTGCCCAAAATCATGTGGCAATTGAGTAGTGGCACCCAGACTTGAATTTCAAAGCCTTACTTTTTTTTTTTTTTTTTAAATTGTTGTGCTTTAAGTGAAAGTACAATTCAAGTTAGTCTCTCATACAAAAAATTATACAAACGTCGTTATGCGACCCTAATTGCTCTCCCTATACTGTGACAGCACATTCCTCCTTTCCACCCTGATTTCCCGTTCCATTCAGCCAGCTCCTAACCCTCTCTGCCTTCTCATCTCACCCCCCGGACAGAAGTTGCCCATTTAGTCTCATGTATCTACTTAAGCTAAGAAGCACACTCTTCACGAGTATCATTTTATGTCCCACAGTCTAGTCCAATCTTTGTCTGAAGAGTTGGCCTCAGGAATTGTTTTAATTCTGGGGTGACAGAGAATCCGGGGGCCATGCTTTCTGGGGTTCCCCGAGACTCAGACCGTTAAGTCTGGTCTTTTTACTAGAATTTGAGTTCTTCAAAGCCTTACTTTTAACTAATCTAGCAAAGCCAAAGACTAAAATCCTCCTCTTATCTCTAAACTATACATGGACTAAAGAAGCAGGTGGTTCTGTTAGTAAATTCTCATTAGGAAGAGAAGCACAAAGAAAGTAGCAACAAAAACAAAAATAAAAGCACTAAATTATACAGGAAAAGAACTATGGACTTGGAAGGAGACCTGAGTTTGTACTTGGCTAAATTACTTATATCATTTATCACTTTCTTAGGAAAGCCTTTCCTAACCACCTGCCTTGTCTCTCTATTAGAGCACTTAACCCATTGCTATAATTACTGTATTGCAATGATTCTAGAGTGCACATCTTTTCACATGTTAACTTTTCTAAAAGTCTGGAGGTATCTTATCATCTATGTCTTAAAATTGTCAGCATTTTAAAAAAATTAGTAATGCATAAAATAAGGATGCCATTTATAGTTGATGACATCTTAGATTTGATGAAATGTAGTGTTGTTTACATGTGTTCCATTAAAATGTTTATATCATTCCCATGGTTTTAAATACCAGGTATATACAATGACTTTCAGATTTCTAGCCTAGTCCTCTCTTAAACTCCATACATGTCTGTTGAACTGAAATTTTCCTTGATATCAAAGGGATTACGAATTTAACATGACTACCCTCTAAATCAACTTGTCTTCTAATGTTCCCTATCCTCAGTAAATGTCGTCTACATTTGTACATTTGCTGAAGCTAAAAAGCGAGAAGTTTGACTGCTTGGGTTTGAATCCCACTTCCACGTTAACTAGTTGTATGAACATACAGTGAAGCAACCTTGTCACCTTTATTCTTCGTCTGTAAAATGGGAGCATAATCACACCTACCTCTGAAGATTTTGAGGAGGATTAAAACATCAAGTAAATGTTAGGTGCCACTAATCTTCATCATAGATGCCTGTGATCTTGCTTCTTCATTCTGCACATGTAATTCATCACCCAGTACTGTGGTCCTGTAAACCCGTCGCCATCAAGTCAATTCTGACTCATAGCAGCCGTATAGGACAGAGTAGAACTGCCCCATACAGTTTCCAACAAGCCCCTGGTGGATTCGAACTGCCGACCCTTTGGTTAGCAGCCGTAGCACTTAACCACTACGTCACTGTGGTAGGCCCTTCAAAATATACCAAATCCATCCACCTTTATCTTTTTGCCACTTCTCTAGTCCAGGCTCCCATTTCTCTTGCCTGTACTACCTATCTTGTAGCTTTTGTTTTTCTCCGTCTCTAGTTTATTTAATACTTTTACCAGTCAGAGTGATCTTTTAAATTAGGTCACTCCACTTCTTAAAACCTCTCTCAGCACACTTGGGGCTTTAAGAAGTGGCATATATCTGCCACTTAATATGGCATATATTGTTCTCTGTTGTCTGCCTGGCCTATGCCTACCTTTCCAAACTTATCTTATGCCAGTCTACCTCACAATGCTCCTGTCACTCATTTCCCCCAACTCCCCACTCATTTTAAAAATTTCATCTTAAATGTCACTTCCTCAGAGATATTCTTTGATCTTCCAAACTAAATTAGGTTCCTCAGTTATAGTCTTCTGTCCTGAATTTGTACCTTTCATATTTGTGGGTGATTACTTCCTTCCAAACTGAGGCTGAGAATGTTAAATAACTTCCCTGAGGTCATAGGGCTAGTTATAGGAGAACTGCAGTTCCAACCCAGGACTGGCCAACTCTAAAGCTTATGTCCTCTCCATGATCCCTTCTTTGCTGCCTTCAAGACAGAAAAGAGTATGTGAATCAGTGTTCTAGGTTTCAAAACATGGCCTGACCTCCTCCTTTCTTTGCTCCTGACCTTCAAGTTATACGTTAAATATTCATCTCTCTGTGAGCTTTTACTCTCTCTCATCAGATTATAAACCTATTGGAAATAGGGCCTCTTTCTTATGTATTTACATAAATTACCTTGCATACAGTAGATGCTCAGTAAATATCTTTGTTTTAGGGGTGTTAAAGAAAAACAAAATGTTAATCCATTTAATTTTTTCATTAGTTGGAGCTGTCTCGTTAATAAGGAATTTAACGCCTTATTGCATACTCTTTGACCAATCAATGACAGAATAAATTTTATGTTTTCATATTTTGAATAGAAATGTCTAAAATGAGTTTTAAAGTAAGTAGTTTGCATGTTAATGGCTTATTGTGGTTGTTTCCCTGGAAAAAGGAAGAATTAACCTTAAATATTTCTGCTTTGCTTCAGGAATTAAGTGATCTGCAACGTGATCCACCTGCTCACTGTTCAGCCGGACCTGTGGGAGATGACTGTAAGCTTTGCTCTATTGCTAGGATTTTGCTACCATTAATAATACAGGTTTGGACATTTGTTAATGACTCCAAAACTCCTTTGTTTGTTTCAGTGTTCCACTGGCAAGCAACTATTATGGGGCCCGTAAGTATGATTCATATGTATGAAATTAATCCCCTCAGCCATCATTCTTACCATTTCACCTGCAGTCAGAAGTTTGTGGCTAAGGTTGAATTTTCTTGTACTCTGAAGCCTCAGAAAGCAAAATATGATCAAGGATTCATGATGACTTTCTAGAGCATTGGTGGCAAATAACTTGCTGTGATTACTGTGATGTTTTCATTTGCCAAATCCTTGATCGTTAGACATAGTAATGGGTCACCTACAATTTGCAACCAAACTGCATGTTTACTTTATCTTTTTTTCTAAACACACACACACACACACGCACACACAAAGTCAGTTGTTGGGAACTAAGAATAATCATTCTCACACTGATAGTTTTAGTAGGTTATAAATAAGTCTAATTAATGCACCAATTCGCAGCGTTAAGTTTCATCACTGTTCCTGTTTCTGAGAGAGAACTGATAAAATATTGCAATGGGTCTGTCTTTGCCAACTCATGAGTTTGTTGCTTTTAATTTTGTTGCATTGCCCTAAAGTCAGAATTACCTGCTGTTTTATGACTGACTCCTCGTAATCCTTGTCATACTTTGTTAAGATTGTGTCTTTCTACACCTGAGAGGCAGTTATGACTTGAAACAGACTTTTCTTTCTATGAGCAAAAAAATCTGGTCACCTAAGAATGGGTAGTGACAGCTCAAATCTAATTTCTGGGTTAGAGTATGTCTTCGTTTCCTAGGGCTGCCATCACAGACTACCACAAAGGGTGTGGCTTTAAAGATCAGAATTTATTTTCTCACAGTTCAGAAGGTTAGATGTCTGAATTTAGGATGTAGATATAGGGGGAGGTACTACTTGGTCTATTTTATCATCTAGTAACTGCTAGCAATCCTTGGCATGCCTGGGCTTATAGATACATCTCTCTCCATTGTCTGTATTCCTTGTGTGTCTCTGTGTCTGTTCTGCTAGTTTTATAACCCAGAAGTGATTAGGTTTAGGACCCACCATACTCTGGTATGAATTCATTAACATAACAAAGGAAAACCCGTTTCCATACTGGGTCATATGTACAGGTATAGGCGTTAGGATTTCAGCACATATTTTGGGGGGACACAATTCAATCCATACCATAGTACACTAGTAACATGTTTCCGTGAACATCATTCTCACCTCCTTCCCCTGAAAGAGCTTTATCTAGTAAGCGATAGAGTTTTTAATTATATTGACATGTGTTAATCTTAAAAAAACAAAAAATAATGAATTTTCAGAGTAGGACTCCTAAGTGTCTCAAATTACTAAATTACACTGTTTAGTTTTTTTTAGAGTAAAATGCAATATATTTATTTAAATAACAGCTCAATAAGAATCTAGTTATTTATGTTTGTTTTTCATTGCTTAGTAAGAACCTTAAAAATGCTATCATTTAAAGGTCCACCCTTATCATTTGAATTGTAGCCTTTCAAAAATATTTCTTAGTCAGTTACATGTAGCAAACGATTACAATTATATTGCTTATATCCCCTTATTTTAATAACAAACATGCCACTCTATAGTACTCTATAGTATCATTTGAATATCAAAGCCGCCCTTAACTGTCATTTCAATTTGCCTACCTTTTCCACATTCCTTGTAATTTTTGATGAACTAGAATTAAATAATACATATAGTAAGAATAATTTTACATCATGGTCGTCTAGTATGTATGTGCAGAAACTTGAAGAAATAATAATAGTCTTGCTGTTATTACCAAAATGTTAATATAACACGATATATTTAGTTGACTATGAAGGAATTAACATAGAATTTTCGATGTGTTTTCCTACCTTTTTTTTTCTTTTTTTTTTTTGCTTGTACTATTATAAATATTTTCTAACTGCCATAATGAAACATGGCCAAATTTAAATTCCCTTTGCAAAGTTGATTCCAAATTTGATAGTTCCCATGGAGAAATTTATTTAGTTTTGTTTTGGCTATTTTTGCTCTTCATTGAATCTGGATGTAAATTAGCTTTAGTATTTTGAATGAAGCACCAAGAAAACAGAATTTGGAATGAGAAAAGATGTTGAGTCATTAATTAACTATAGGATATTTTCCATATTACTTTATCAACTGTTACTAAATGAACATTTGAGGCTTGAATTGTGTAATAATGTCACTTTGCCTTTTGTTTTCATAACTTGGTCTCTTCAGTTCATTTCTATCCTTGCCTATTAAATGACCATCAGAACTTAGTTTTATAAATAAGGAGGTAAATACTAGCCCTAATGCTTTTTTTTATGCTGAAACTACAGCAGAAAATTATTCTTTTCTCACAGCAGTCTTGTGTGTGTTCTGATCTTAAAAACTTTGTACTCATATAAACAGATTTCTTTGAACAAGTCACACCACTGTGTGTGTCCTATTTTTGTTTTATTTTAAACTCTATGATGTCAGCCTGATTGGTTGGAAAATCCTCCTTAACACCTGCAGAGAGAGGGAAACCTGTTTTCAAGGTAAATGATTTGAACTTCTGGCAAAAAGAAGGCATTTTTTTTCAAATGGATAATCTTTGGGGAAAAGTAATTTTAAGCTACTAAGTAAATACAGTAATCTACCACTAATGCAAATGTTTTGTAATTTCAGCCTGATAGCGCATATCAAGGTGGAGTCTTCTTTCTCACTGTACACTTTCCGACAGACTACCCTTTTAAACCACCAAAGGTATTTTTATTTTTATGATTGACGTGACTCCTAGCTCAGGGATTTGACTGTCCATCTGGAGATGCTTTCATGATTTTAAAGTCCATGAGATAAACGTAAAATAGGCTTTCCCAGGCAGTGGTAGTTCAGCCGTAGAATTCTCGTCTTCCATGCAGGAGACCCAGGTTCCATTCCTGGCCAACGCACCTGAAGCGCAGCCACCATCAGTGTGTCTTTCAGCAGAGCTTTCACACTAAGACAGACTAGGAAGAAAGGCCTGGCAATCTACTTCGAAAAATCAGCCAGTGAAAACCCTATGATCACAATTGTCCAGTCCCGTCGTGCACAGGGTCGCCATGAGTTGGGAGTCTACTTGACGGCAGCTAACAACAACAATTTAAAGTGACAATAAAATAGGCTTTCTTACTCAAATATTGTATTATGACTGTAAAACAAAAGGCAGTGTTCCATTATGCTATAGATTTTGTTCCTTTCCTTACTTTCCCTCCTTATTAGATATATGTAGTTTGGGAAGTTTTTATGGTCAAAAATCAGACTTTTCCTTTCAAGGGATCATCTTTCCAAAGTTGACCCTTTCTTTCTCAGTTTTTTAATATTCAGCAAACATTTACTGAGCACCTACCATGTTCTATTACATTGGGGAATATAAAAGCAAATATGACATAGTCCTTTTATTTGGTGTGGTGAGGGAGATTAAAAATATTCTTACTGAGTCACAGGGCAACGTGTGTACTCACTGTTTAATGAGAAACTATTTTGTTCTGTAAACCTTCATCTAAAGTGAGAATAGCAGACAACTGGCAGAACGTAATCAATGTCACTGAACTGTGCATGTAGAAATTTTTTAAATGGTGTATCTTTGGCTAGGTATATTTTCACCAAAAAAAAGGTCCTCCAAGGTCGAGAAGGGAGAGTGTTGACATGTCATGGGGTAGTTAACCAATGTCATAAAACAATATGTTTACTGACTGTTTATTGAGAAACTATTTGTTCTGTAAACCTTCACCTAAAGTACAATTTAAAAAAATTAAAAAAGAAAAGAAAAAAAATATTCTTACTGAATTTAATTAAAGAAGAAACAAACGAATGATGGGGATATCAAGAAGGGAGAAATTTTTTAAACAGTTCTGTCAGTCAGGCAATAATTCTTTTAGATTTTTAAATACCTAATTAACATTATTTGTATGAAATGATATGATACAACTCTTTTGGAAGATTAGGCTTCTTGGTAGATTTCTTGGATAGGTAACAATTTGCTGAGGCTTCTCAACTTTCCCCTGAAAAACAGTAAGCATGCTATTTTTAGATCCAAGTGTCACTTCCAGTTCTCGCTGATAATCATTTTAAGAAAAGGATTACTTTCAGACATGATGAAAGCCAGGGTTAATTACTTCAGATGCTACTCAGCCAGTCACACCAGCTATTAGAGACTACTCATTACACTCTCCAAAATACTTCTCAATTCCTGGGTAGGGGCTGAGGGAAACTGACTTATTTGCTTTCACATTACAGAGGAGATGCTCATTCAGTTTGGGTTGAACACATTTCTCCTCTAAGATCATATAAAGTTGAGAACACTTTTTCCCAGAGCAAATTAGTTTGGTTTTGTTCATAGTGCATGGGTTGTCATATTTTTTTGTTTGTTTTATGTACAGATTGCTTTCACAACAAAAATTTACCATCCAAACATAAACAGTAATGGAAGTATTTGTCTTGATATCCTGAGGTCACAGTGGTCACCAGCTCTGACTGTATCAAAAGGTAATTTTATTTATCAGATTTATAAGAGCTTATAATAGTAAGACAGAAAAAATGCAGCAGAAGTATCTGGGGACCAAAGTTTTAAAAAAAAAAATCTGTGTTTTTCTCTTGTTTTGATTTTCTTTGCTTTCGTGGTTACTATGTTACTCTTTGTCTCTTAGCAGTTATTTTGGGGGAGTTGATTGGCAAATCTAAATAATAATATTAGAAGAAATTTAAAATGTTAATGCTAGAAATTTGGGAATAAGCCTGTTGACATTTTACCCCTTTAGTTTGGGCTTTATCTTTTAAAAAAGAGAGAGAATAAAAGACAGGAGTAAAAATACAATTTCAGGACCAGTTGTCCATTCATTAAATGGAACTGTTGACATAATCAGTAAGGCTTTACACTTGATTTACTTTACCAAGAAGAAAAACAAGATTTGGCCAATAAAATAAATGATTTAAAATGAAAGACATATTTCACACTTCAGTATAATGCCAGAACATGTAGCATGTTAGCCTAAACTTTGAATAAACAATAGCATCACTATAATGACTGGCATAGTCCATGCTGATTTTCACCTTTCACCAATATACAGCATTTGTCCTTTGCTTAGTTAACAGATGTGTGTATAGGCCATCTGAAGCCATTTTTGTTTCATTAGCCAAAACTATTTGCTATGCTAGAACTCTTAATTTGTGTCTTATTTCTCTAACAGAAGAGAACCTGACATTTGGAAAATATTGTTTGGTTTAGGAGCATCTGCCCCTGAAGTAACTTGGTGGTTATCCCTTTCTATAGAATTCGAGAAGATTATTTTCCTTGAAGGATAAATGGGATGAATCCATGATCCTTTCTTAATTTTTTATAAATACAACCTAAAGAGTAACATGTTTTTAAAAGTGGTGAGGTCTATAGGAGCAGGGTCCAACTCCATAATTATTTTAAATATTAGATTAGCAATAGCCTTGTTGGTCAATGATTTATGAATGGCAGTATTTCTGACCTAAAACATTTATCTAAAATATTCATGTAAATTCTAGGTCCTTTTTTAAATCTTTCACATAGTGTAACTCTTGTGCACTAGCTATAAAAAAAGTGTCTGTGTCAACGAGTTATTCAAATTAATATACTCTTTCCTGGAATCGTGTCATGAAAGGCAAGCCATTTGGCATAATCAGCTAAGTACTTATAAAAGAAATGGCAGACTGCCAGATACTGAGTAGCACTTATCTCCTGACACTGGTAGCTTTTTATAGAGAATAATTAGTACTGTTGGATTCTGGAAACTTTTTCCTTTAAGAATTCAGACACACCTCAGTTTCCTTATCTGTAAAATGGGGATTTTAATGTATTACCACCTCAGGTCACTGTAGGGTCACTATGAGTTGGAATCGACAACAATGGGTTTGGTTTGGTTTTTAGGGTCACTGTGTGTGTGGCATATAGGAAGTACATAAGCAAATGTTAACTTTTATTATCGATTTCCTTATCTTAAAACATTTGGTCTGTGTATAATGGTGAAATCAGGGCAAATGGCTCCTGGAGGCAGGAGTAGAAGACAAGGAACTTCACTCTTGCTTGTTTTATAATGCTAGCTCATACTTCATTTGTTTGTACATATTTCACTTTTCTATATTTCCAATGTCTTATTCTGCTATCTATCATGAACATAGTCAGTCTGGAAGCATTCTGGAGATGTAAGCAAAAGGCTATCCCAGAAAACCTACCTTGCTGGTTTAATATTATAAGGCTTGAAGTTTCAGGATAAAAGGGAAGATAAGGAAGATGAATGAAAATTTATTTTTTCATTAGCCATTAGCATACCTTTCCCTTCTCACTTAAGAATCAACTCTGTATATCCAACTTGGGACTTGAAAGGGTAGGAAAACATAAAAGAACATGGTGGAGGAGAGTGGCGATGGGAAGTTGTTCTCAAGATTTCCACATATGCCCTCAGAAGTAGTGGCACACAATTAAAGCAGCCAAATGAGGAATCAGAGTTCTTGTTCCCTCCTGTTTCAGGTACTTAGATCTATTTATTTAAATTATAGTTATTTGCATTAGTATTTTGACCTAATGTAACAAGAAATGACTTTTTAATTTATATTTATATAAGTTATGTAATTAAATTTTTAAATGCATGTGATACCAGTAAGGTACGTGGAAAAACAAAGATTCTTTGAACAAATTTTATAAGTCTTTATTCTTTGCAGACAATCTGTAGCACTAAACCAAAGTAAAACAGCAAAGGAACATGATCTCCAAAGCGGTTTTAACTATAAATTGTAATTTGATTGCTTTACCGTCAATGGATTAGATCATAGATTCTCTGCATTAAATTAGAACAAAAAATAGTTTTGGCATTAAAATACAAAAGTGCCTCTAAAAAACGTCTAAAATTAGGATGCCACTCTGAAAAGTTTTTGCTGATATACCATTTGGGGCATGTGTGCATTACCTAATCATATTTTTCTAGAGAACTCTTGCGTTTAAAGGTTGCTAATAGCTATTTTAGGTCCCTACATGAAGCAGTTAAAGAGCTCTGCTGCTTAACTGAAAGGTCGGCAGTTCGAACCCACCAGCCGCTCTGCTGGAGAAAGATGTAGCAGTCTGGTTCTGTAAATATTTACAGCCTTGGAAACCCTATGGGGCAGTTCTCCTGTGTCTTACAGGGTTGCAATGAGTTGGAATCGACTCAGCGGCAGTGGTTTAGGTGGTGCAAACATTTGTGCTGTACTGCTAACCTAAAGGTAGGCAGTTGGAACCCACCTAGCGGTAATATGGAAGAAAAGGCCTGGAAGTATGCTTCTGTTAAGATTACATCCAAGAAAACTCTACGGAGCAGTCTACTGTGTAACACGTGGGGTTGCTGTGAGTCGGAATCGACTCCACGGCAACTAACAAGAACAACAGCTATTTTGGAGGTTCACATTTTTTAAAATAAGTTCGAATAGAATTTAAAACTTCAAGAGGTGTAATTTTACATTATATAAATGTTACGGTAATTTTATAATTTTAAAAATATTTGCTGCCAACCAAAATCAGTATAAAATTTTAGTTAATGCGGTCATTTTGTGTTTTCTTTGTAAGTTCAGTACAGGTTTCCCCTGCTATCCAAAAGTAGAACGTTCCTATGAAACCTTTCCTAAGCCGAAATAGCATAAAGCATAAGAAGCAATTACCATTAATTTATATGGGAAAAATTTTTGAGTGTTCCTAGACCCAAAAAATAACCTACCAAATCATTAAACCTAAAATAACACTAACATATAGTAAAAGCAGGAATGATACGGTAAATAGACAGCCTATATAAAGTAGAAATAATGTATGTACAGTGTAGTTTCACTTACCAAAATTGGGAAGACAGCGAGCACGCTGGAAGGCTGGGAGGTGGTGGTGGTGATGACGGTAGCCCTGGTAGCCTAGCTGGCAGTGGCACAGGGTGGGCTGGGTTCAGACCCCACAGAAGAGTGGGATTTATATTAACTGCGCATGCCAAGGGATGAGTCCTACAGTTAGAGAGCTGCACAGGGGACAAGTAGAGGATAGGATCTCGCGATGCATGGTGTGTTTATACAACACCAGGCATTTGATTGTTCACAGACACAGTTCAAAGCTATGGCGGCTTAATGCAGAGTGTGGTTCCGGAGGAAGGAGCTTGGTGACACCACTCTCGCTGTTTGGGGTGCGTGCTGCCTCTTTAATGGCTCGCTGCAAAACAAACTCTGAACGCTGTATCTGCTTTTCGCCTGTTTTTGTAAAAGTGAAAATCCTCTTTGGATTTCTTCTGATTAGCAAAAACAGGTACAAATGTAGGTAGGTCTTTTATAAAAGCGAAGTAGTGTAACATGAGCTTTCAAAAAATGGGATACCTATATTTATATTCAGTGAAATTGTTTTAACATGTGTATAAAGTAAAAAGACGATTATCTAATGTGATATTCTCTTTTAAATCTAGTTTTATTATCCATATGTTCTCTACTTTGTGATCCTAATCCAGATGACCCTTTAGTACCAGATATTGCCCAAATCTATAAATCAGACAAAGAAAAGTAAGTGTTTACTTACATTAGTTGCTATTGGAGTGTATTTCTATGGAGTTTGTCAAAACATAAGAATATTATCAGTACATTTTATTATGCTTATATTTAGTTTACCTTTTTTCTATGGTGTCTTTTTAAACTCTTAATATTTTTACAAAAAACCTCATTTCCTATTTACTGTATAATCCTTTAATATTTAATAGTAACTGTTCTTTGGAAACCTTGGTGGTATAGTGGTTAAGAGTTCAGCTGCTAACCAAAAGGTCGCCAGTTCAAATACACTAGCCGCTCCTTGGAAACCCTATGGGGCAGTTCTACTCTGTCCTATAGGGTCGCTATAAGTCAGAATCAACTCGATGGCAATGGGTTTGGTTTGGTTTGGTTAACTGTTTTTTGCACACTACTGCATGTTTTTTAATGGGGAACAACTATATATAATTGTAGATGGTAAATTAAAAATGAAAGAATTTAATAATTGGAAAGTATTATATATGGTGTTCCTAATCTTCTCCCAGGAAAAGAAGTTATCTCTAAGCCTCTTGTCCCACAAACTGGCCTAATTTTCAAGGTGTCTCATCTTGCTAATACCATAGTTCATTTGCAATTTGCAGATAATGCGCGTTCAGAGTTGGCTTTCATGGATTTCTATTAGAATTGGATTCTCCATTTTGTTGTTTATATTTCAGGTCGGTTTTCATATAGGTTGTAGAGTGATCCGTAAAAACCCATGATTTTTTAAAAGTCCACTTGTTTTCTATTTTATTTATGCATGAGCCTAGGTCTCACTGACCCAATAATTTGTATATACAGGATTACTGCAGTTGAGCATAAGAAAGTAGAGTGTACAGTTTTATATAGAGAGATGCTTCTGAAAGATTAAATTTGTATGTTTTTACTGTTTTCCTTTTGTATGCCTACAGATACAACAGACATGCAAGAGAATGGACTCAGAAATATGCAATGTAAATTCAAAAAAATTTTTCACATATACCAGAGTACTGTAAAATCTAGGTTTTTTTCAATATTAGCAGTAAATTGAGCACTGTTTACTGTTTCAGTGTACCACGAAACCCTTTGATTTTTACCCATTTTAAATGTGCTTCTGAAGCAAGACAAAACAAACTTCCAAAAATACCCATAAGACTGTGATGAGAGCATTTATCATTTTGTATGCATTGAGAAAGACATTTATTATGGTTTTTAAGATACTTGGACATCTGCGTCTTCAGCTTACAAGATCTACAGTGCAGCTGAAAAGCAACCAAATTATTTTTTGCTGAAACTAGATGTTTTTACATGAGAAATACTGTACGTGTTGTTTAAGATGTCATCAGTTTTATAAATCTGTCTTCAGATTTCATTCTGTTAGCTCACTTTATAATTTGTATTTTTTTACTGTATAGACGAAATATATTCTATTTACCATGTGCGTCAACTCATTACATTTTTCCTGTGAACAGTATTGAAGAAGCCCAGCAACTGATAATTAAATGAATTAACTGTTTGTCTCCCTTATCTTAGGATATTCTGTAGATTGATCGAAGATTTCTTAAACATGAAATGATCTTTACACTGTAATTCTCAGTATACTGATTATGGAGAAACACTTGTTTTGATTTTGTTATACTTGACTTAACTTTATTGCAATGTGAATTAATTGCACTGCTAAGTAGGAAGATGTGTAACTATTATTTGTTGCTATTCACATTTGAATTTTTTTCTGTATAGGCAATATTATATTGACACCTTTTACAGATCTTACTGTAGCTTTTTCCATATAAATAAAATGCTTTTTCTACTATTTGTCTTGATTACTTATGAGGAAAAAAAAATTATAAGGATCAAAACTGTATTAAAATTTTGCATGAAATTTAATTCTAATTTGTGAGAATGGAGCCTGTTGTATTTGGCATTAATCACCATTAATTGTGTAAATTTTATTATTTTAAGTTAGTGTCTCTTTACTAAATTGTCACTCTATAAGACAATATACATTGGTCTCTTGTTATAGTGGAGAATTTAGAGTAAATTCAGGTTAGTCATGGATCACATCTAAGATGGATTTACTATAGTAATAAAATGAATGTAAGGCAGTGTCACACACACTGAAGAAAAGTCTTTATCGGCCTAAAGAATAGCTAGATTAATTAAAATGCCCCTCTAGATGTAACTGACATATTTGTTAAAATTTTGAAAGCTAGAATTTCTAAAATAGAATTCCAGTGCCATCATAATTTGAATGAGAACATTCATTTTTTACTATAGAAGTCACAAAGAAAATGCTAAAGTGATGTGTCTGTTTTTTTAAATTGTCAGCCAAGTGATTTAAGTAAACAAGTTGTCATTACAACTTTTAAAGAAAGCAAGAAATTTCTAATGTTTTAACATGGAAAAAATTACATCTCTTTAATCTTTAGCGTGCTTATCAAATTTGAATGAACGTCATTTTAAGGACAGTTGTAGCGCTTCTGCTTATTGGAGTGGTTGTATAACTGTGCAAGAATCTGTGATAGGTGGAGTCATTAACAAAACATTTAAATCTCTTGAGTATTTTACCATGGTTCATTATTGTTAAAGCACAAATTAACCTATTGTTAAAATATGCCATGTGTTTTTATTAATGAATATAAAATAATTTAAATGGATTGTGAAATGGAGGTTTAAGAAAATGTAGACTTAAAAAAGTAATATAAGAGATGTCTTAAAACAGCCATATCATGAAAAATATTACTAGGTATATTATTATAAGCTACATTTACCCTGAATTTGAACACTAAACATCATTAGCTTTACATATTTAGTATATTTTAATAATGAGGAATTTTGTTCCTTGAGTATCTTTCACTTTTAAACTTTCATTTGTATGGCATTTATTTTTTAAAGTGTCCTTTTTTTTAAATTAAAATCTTTGAAATTTGCCTACCATTGTTTGCCTTTGCTTACATTTGAATTGTACAGTCTATTGAGAAGTGAGCACAAGTTCTCATTAGCTAAAAATATTAAAGAGCTCAGTGGTGGTATAATGATCAGTCAGATCACCATTTTGGGTATATTGTTTTTGCTTAATTCTAACAAAAAGAATATCAGTTACCTTTTAAAACTAAATTCAAGACCAGGGGCCTTCCTCATAGATTAAGCATGAGTTTAAGGATCTCCTTGGAGTGAGAGAGGAGCCCTAGTGGCACAGTGGCTAAAGCGCTCAGATGCTAACCAGAAGGTTGGTGGTTAGAACCAACTAGCTGCTCCTTGGGAGAAAGATGTGGCAGTCTGCTTCTGTAAAGATTTACAGCCTTGGAAACCATATGGGGCAGTCCTGTAGGGTTGCTATGAGTTGGAATTGACTTGACAGCAGTGAGTTCGGTGTTGGGTTGGAGTGAGGGAAATAGGTAACCTTTTGGGAATTTAGGATCCCCACCTCTTGAAGTCCTGGATGCTTTCACGCATAGTTGAAAACCATATTTAACACGGATTTTGGATATTTGTAACTGCCACGTACAAAAAAATCAGTGATACAGGTTGTGAGGGCAATTTTTCTCCCACCCCCCCATCCCTCCTACACTATCTCACTAGCATATAATTCGTATGCCTGTGTCAATTACATATAATAATCCCATTTTGACTTATTTTCCCGCATGAACTCTGATAGGGAAAATTAATATTTAGTTTATAAATCAACTAGTTACCTAAAGACCAAAGGGATTAGGTGATACACAGAGAGCCTGAGGGCAACCCTATCAGTTAATATTCAAATGAATCACGCTTTTAAAATTAATGAATGATAAAAATAATGCCATATTGTAGTTTTACCTTTCTCTTATTTTATCACAATTATCTGTTTTATTTTCACATGATTCAGTCATTCATTTGATGATTAGCAGGATTCATTCTGACGGTTCTATATTTTTGAGATAGAAAGATTGGGGAGTTAATTTTTCTCTTGGATTAAAAAAGATTCTTGGTAATGAAGCTGTTTATGTCATGGCTGTTTGTCAATTTGAACTGAACTCTCTTCTTGGATTAGAAGAAATTAAAAGTGATGAACCTGTTTATGTCATGACCATTTATTGAAAGTCCAGTCCAATTGATGATGCTTTTAAATTTGAGCTCTGCGGTAGACTCATCGGTCCTGTGACTCATCCTTGTTAGGACCAGCCATGGAAACTGATTAATCCTTTAGCCATGGTCCTATAAATAGAGCTTCAGTGTATTCAAAATGCTAGATTTGGTCTATTAAGATACAAGAGTACTGCTTATTTTTTTTAAGTTAAATATTATTAATAAAACGAATCAAAATCTGAATATGAAAAAGTTCATAGTTCTATCACTTGTTAGCTGTAAACCAAAACTTTAAAAAAAAAAAAAGTATCTTTAAAGCAAAGCAGAGGTTTAACATAATGTAGTAGTCCTAAAATGTAATGCAGGTTATTTGTGAGAGTTCTTATTTTTATAATACTGCTCTCTTACTGTTCTGACTGTTGTTATTGCACAAATAAGGCATCAGGTAGAGGTTTATCTAATTTTCCTTATAAAAATTGCCATGTATAGATAACTAGTTATTTCTACTCTTTTTTTTTTTCATTTGTACTGAGTAATGTCTGCAAATTCTTCTTAGACTGTAATTAATATGCTTTCTCCAGGAGTTTTTTTTTTTCAGTAGTGGTGAAAACAATTTATGGACAGCTGATGTTTCTGGTTGTAGAAACAATTTGTAATTCAGTAGTCCTTGGTGATAGTCTAATAGATGTTATGTTACTTATTTGTGTTAGGTAACATTTAAAGTTTTGCTCTCATTAGCTTTTTGTATATAAGGATGTAGTTTTAAATTTTAAATAAACTAGTAGGAAGAAGGAAAATTAACCTAAAAGTATTAGACATTGGGGCATTTTGTATAGTAAGATACATTTTTTAAAAATCTTCTTTTAGCATTTTCTTAGGTCCTATAGTGGTAGTGGGAATGGTGTGCCTTACTCATAAAGGAGTTGCTTTTATTATACTGGTACATGTATAAGGTGTGAAGAATGCTTTCCACATATTTACTTGATAGGAAAAGCTGTGTTAACATCTCGTTAGTGCTGAAGATATATTGCACACTCAAACACTGAGTTGTATATGAAATGTTTTAATGTAAACTCTTACTATACATATTGTGGGGAACAAGTGTGACACCGCTTGTTTTGACAGTCCCGTGACAACTCACACATTTGATGTGTTAATAGAAGGACTCTCAGGGCTCACAATATGGTAGCAGTCAACGGCTAAAATTTATTACAGTGACATGTTAGCCAGATCAGTAAGGGGAAAAGAGACACCAGGCGGAGTCTGGAGGAATCTATATGCAGGCATCCTGTGCTCTCTCTGAAGGAGACACAATGTGAACTTCCCCTCCAGCAGTGAAATATGCTGTGAGGGGGCAATTTTTTTTCCATTTGGAACTAGTTGCCTCAGCATCTTTTATTGAAAAAGCTATTCTTTCCTTCACTGTCCTGCATTGTCACCATTGCCATAAATCAGATGGTGCATGTACATATGGGTATGGTTCTAGACTACATCTGCAGAAAGAGATGATAGAGAAGTTCAGTATCAGTCAAAGCAAGGCCAGGGGCCGACTGCCGAACAGACCATCAATTGCTCATATGCAAATTCAAGTTGAAGCTGAAGAAAATTAGAGTAAGTCCACGGGAGCCAAAATATGACCTTGAGTATACCCCACCTGAACTTAAAGACCATCTCAAGAATAGATCTGATGCATTGAACACTAATGACCAAAGACCAGACAAGTTGTGGGATGATATCAAGGCATTATACATGAAAGCAAAAGGTCATTAAAAAGACAAAAAAGAAAGAAAAGACCCAAATGTATGTCAGAAGAGACTCTGAAACTTGCTGTTGAATGCAGAGTAGCTAAAGCAAAAGGAAGAAATGATGAAGTAAAAGAGCTGAACAGATTTCAAAGGGCAGCTCAAGAAGACAAAGTATTTTAATGAAATTGCAAAGACCTGGAATTAGAAAACCAAAAGGGAAGAAAGTGATTGGCATTTCTCAAGCTGAAAGAACTGAAGAAAAATTCAAGCCTCGAGTTGCAATATTGAAAGATTCTACGGGCAAGATATTGAACGATGCAGGAAGCATCAAGGGAAGATGGAAGGAATACAGAGTCACTGTACCAAAAAGAATTGGTTGACGTTCAACCATTTCAGGAGATAGCGTATGCGTATGATCAAGAACCAATGGATTGAAGGAAGAAGTCCAAGCTGCACTGAAGGCATTGTTGAAAAACAAGTCTCCAGGAATTTATAGAATATCATTGAGATGTTTCAACAAACAGATGCAGAGTTGGAGGTGCTCACTTGTCTATGCCAAGAAATTTAGAAGACAGTTACTTGGCCAACCGACTGGAAGAGGTCCATATTTGTGCCCATTCCAAAGAATGTGGAAATTGATTATCAAACAGTATCATTAATATCACACACTAGTAAAATTTTGCTGAAGATAATGCAAAAGTGATTGCAGCAGTACATTGACAGGAACTGCCAGAAATTCAAGCCAGATTAAGAAGAGGACGTGGAAAGAGGGATATCATTGCTGATGTCAGAT